ATTTTATTTGAGAAAATTCTTCTGGCCCACCCCTGTGCACATCATTCGCCTGTGCCTCCTGGGATATGTGATGTGCATTGGCTTTCACTGAGAAAAGAGGAGGAACCCAGAATAGCCGGTGGCTTCCTGATGACGTCACACATGAAGATGGTGGCATGGAACCAAGCATGGGGCAGAAGTGAGGAGGATCTCAGCAGGACACCAATGGATCCAGTGGGCAGGTGAGTATGTTACTCGTGCAGGAACTGCAACCAGGTGAGCAGAGGTTATAGAAAAATAAATAAATAAGGGAAGTGAAGGACCGCTTTAAATGAGAATTATGGCCAAACCTTTTTGGCTAGATTTCTCCTATGGATCACATGAGTGCAGTTCATTCTGCACTCCTATAACCTGTTTTCAGCCAATAGCGGGTCAATTCTTATTTTACTAATTATGTATTTTTAATTAGGTTAATTAGTGTAGCATTTTCAAGGCTGAGCGCTTCATCCATTTTTTAAATAGTGGGCTAATGCTGACATTGACTGACGTCACAGAGCCAGTCTAGGCTTTGGAATTATCCTGATCATATGGTCGGGATCCAACCAGATGCCTGAACGGGAAGCCAGCTCAGCCTCTCAACAATCCACCGAGAGCCTGAGCCAGCCACTACGGCCCCTCCACAGTCCAGCAAGCGCTGGAGGTGCAGAGCAGAGAGCCGGTGACTGACCATCACAGTTCTCTGCTCAGAACGAAGGGGGGCAGAACTGAGTGATCAGTGGTGTTTGATCACTCAGTTCTCAATGCAGAGGTAGCGGGGGATGGATGCAGCATTGGATCGATGCTGCATCCACCTAGGTGAATATACGTGTTTTTTTTTTTTTAAATCCCCATACTTCTCTTTTACAGAATTGACAGAATGCCTCCCAACCCCTAAACTAAATTGAGGAAATAAAACAAAAAAAAAAAGGGTGGGGTGGTATTGGAACACCTGTTGGTTTTTATTGCAGTCTTGAGACACTTCCCCTCAGTTACCCAAATGGTGAGAACAGTTTCAGGAAGGGAGATAAAATATCCAACAGAGACACAAACCATAATATATAATGTTTTTTTCCCCCCAGTAGAGTATATGAAGTATAGAGCCCCTGTCCGCTTTTTAGTTTTCTGTGGATACTTTCCCTCACTTCTTGTCTGGCAATTCAGCTTTCACTGCAACAGTTCTGAACAATAAAAACCAAACGGGTTCTAATCTTTACTTACTCTATCCAAAAAACAGTTTTAACTAGACATACAGTACATCTTAAATTACCTTTAACAGGATTTGTATAGAAACTGCTGTACTACTGCCTTCATATTCAGTAGGCTCTTTACAGTGCTCCTTAGCAGGCTGTAGCCGATTGCTATTGGCTCTGTAGCTCAAGCACAGAGTGACCTTGGCCATTTTGATTGATTAAAGGTCCAGGTCATTCTCTGCATGAGCCGCCACTGTATGAATAACTCGTTAGGGGCTTATATGCAGCCATCAGTCGTGTTATCGGTGACGGCCTCTAAACAAACACTTTTCTGCTATTTACGTTAGTGCTAAGCAAACGTGCTTTTACCTATGTAAAGCATAAACTATGGTCAAAACTGGTCCATCAACACAGATTTATCTAGTTTTGGTTTACACAGCTAAATTATGTGAACTAAAATGGAGCAGTGTGCATGGGCAGTAAAATACACTGCCTAAAAAAATTAAAGGAATGCTTTGAAAAACACGTCTTATCTCAATGGGGAAAAATCTCCTGCTGGATATCTATACTGATATGGACGGGGTAATGTGTTAAGAACATAAGGATGACCCATCATTTGATGGAAATTAAAATTATCAACCTACAGGGGGCTGAATTCAAAGACACCCTAAAAATCAAAGTGAAAAATGATGCAGCAGGCTAGTCTATTTTGCTGAAATTTCATTGCAGAAACTGAAAATGGTACTTAGTAGTTTGTATGGCTCCTACATGCTCATACGCATGCCTGACAACACCGGGGCATGCTCCTAATGAGACGATGGATGGTGTCTTGGGGTGCTTTCTCCCACATCTGGACCAGGGCATCACTGAGCTCCTGGACAGTCTGAGGTGCAACCTGGAGGTGTCTGATGAAGTGTTCTATTGGATTAGAGTCAGGCGAGAGTGGGGGCCATTCAATGATATCAATGCCTTTTTCCTCCAGGAACTGCCTGCATACTTTCACCACATGAGGCCGGGCATTGTTGTGCACCAGGAGGAACCCAGGACCCACTGCACCAGCGTAGGGTCTGACAATAGGTCCAAGGATTTCATGCCGATACCTAATGGCAGTCAGGGTGCCATTGTCTAGCCTGTAGAGGTCTGTGTCCCTCCATGGATATGCTTCCCCAGACCATCACTGACCCACCACCAAAATGGTCATGCTGAACGATGTTACAGGCAAAATAACATTCCGAACAGCTTCTCCAGACCCTTTCACGTCTTTCACACATGCTCGGGTTGAACCTGCCCTCACCTGTGAAAAGCACAGGGTGCCAGTGGCAGACCTGCCAATTCTGGTGTGGTGCTGGGCAGTGAGCACTTGAGGACATTGGGTCCTCAGGCCACCCTCATGAAGTCTGCTTCTGATTGTTTGGTCAGAGACATTCACACCAGTGGCCTGCTGGAGGTCATTTTGTAGGGCTCTGACAGTGCTCATTCTGTTCCTCTTTGCACAAAGGAGCAGATAGTGGTCCTGCTGATGGGTTAAGGACCTTCTACGGCCCTGTCCAGCTCTCCTAGAGTAACTGCCTGTCTCCTGGAATCTCCTCCATGCTCTTGAGACTGTGCTGGGAGACACAGCAAACCTTCTGGCAATGGCATGTATTGATGTGCCATCCTAGAGGAGTTGACTTGCCTGTGCAACCTCTGTAGGGTCCAGGTATCGCCTTATGCTACCAGTAGTGACACTGACCCAAAACCAGTGAAATATAGTCAGAAAAGAGTAGGGGAAAAAAAATGGCAGTGGCCTCCACCTGTAAACCCATTCCTGTTTTGGGGCGCGTCTCACTGTTGCCCATCTAGTGCACCTGTTGTTAATTCTATTAACACCAAAGCAGCAGAAACTGATTAACAGCCCCCTCTGCTACTTAACTGACCAGATCAAAATCCCAGGAGTTTAATTGACTTGATGCTATACTCGGATTAAAAAGTGTTCCTTTAATTTTTTTGAGCAGTGTATAATACTGCTGCATTAAGATCTGTATATAGTAGGATCTGAATGCAGCAAATTGTACACCCTTGTGCACAAGTCCTTAAAAAGGGATGGTTCATTCCAAAGTTATTTCAGTTTAAGCTGGGTTCAGAATCACCTATGAATCTTCCACGTCTCTCAGGAACTAGAGTGGAGAGTTCTCAACAAAGCCAGCCCTTAAGCTGGCTATATTCTAGTAGAACTTTTAGTCAAAAAATGTTTGCTTTAAGAATGTTCCTTCAATTCTCTAATCATTAGTGGGTTCAAATCGAACGAATCAGCAGCGACAAGAAAATATGAATGAGCAGGATGGAAAATTTTCAACAAAAAAAATGAATTTCTGGTGTTTGTTCCAGAAATAATATTCATTCTAAATCAAAAGGATAATGGAAACAAATTTTTAAAGTACATTCGAATGACATTCGATCTAGTCATCAAATGTACAATGAATGTTTGTTCAAAATCTACTAGTATATAGCCAGCTTAAATTGGTATTAAATCCAAAACCAAAAATGTATATATATTGCAGCTTACCAATCATTAGAAGTGGTGGCTGCATTCATTTTCTTTTTTCTCCTTTTTTTTAACCTCTGTATTCATCTGATCTGGCCAGTAACATACCTCTCTTGTATTACAGTGCCCCCACTCTGGATGAAGGAGCACAGGGTACGCCTTTGACCAGCAGCATAGTCAGTCTGGGGGGAGGGGAGTAGTAGATGTATTATCAGATTTAAATATACTAACAAATTGAAGCCAAACTCCAGCTAATACTTTATTAGTACAGCAAACAGTGTTTTTTTTTTCCTTTTGGGATAAAGATTTTATATAAATAAAACTGATCCCTATAAGCACCCGTCAGTGATAAATGGTTTGTCTCATCTCTGTAACTGATCCATTTGCTGGAGAGCTTGCTCTTTTGAAAAACAGGCTAAATCACCAGATGAAAATAGAAGAAAGCAAGCCTAAAAAAGAAACAAATGCAGCCATCACATCTAACAACTGGTAAGCTGCAAAATAATAAAAATGTTTTCTTTAGGGTTTAATACCATTTTAAGCCCTGGTTCACACTGATGCGGTGTGGAATTCGCAGAGGTTTCTGTGCGAATACTGTACCGTATCAGAATCGCACCCTGTTCATGCGAACTGCTGCGGGTGTGCATGTTAAGTTAACCCAGAAAGTGGTTCGCTAAACGTGGTGCGATGTGCAGTATTGGATCGCATAGGTGTGAATATTCTAGTGCGGACCCAAAAAAGGATCCTGCACCTTTTTGATGCATGCGATTAGAGCCATACAAAATGTATGGCTCCAATCGCACCGCACACAAATTGCATGTGATTTGCACAGGAATGCGGTGTGATTCCTGTGCGAATCACATGCGATATACCGCACCGCATATGTGTGAACACAGGCTAAGAGTCTCAATGATTAGAGAATTCTGTAACAAAAAAAAAACTAACAAAACAGTAATGGCCAAAGCAGGAGAAACAGCTGAGTGACGTTCAAGCTCCAAAGTTTCAATATAAAAGGAAGCCAGGAGGTGGTTCAACAAACCATACAAATATGTAACCCAGCAGTAAAATAAATACACAGAAAATACTTTGAAGTTTTGCTGTACATTCCTTTCCTCCAGAAGGCATAACATTACTATTTCTTCCTAATATGATCATTTAAAATAATGCATGGCTTTCCTAAAGCAATGACATTTCTTTGAAAACAGCATGAAATGGTTTAGAACAAGATTGTTTCAAATAATAATGAGGTGTGCATGTATATTTCATACCACAATCCCGGCGTTCTTCACAGCCAGTGGCAGCCCAAGCAATCCTGTGCCAATGTTCCCTTTTAGTAAATGTATCAATGTCTGGAACCATCTGTCAAAGCAAAAATATATATAAAAACGTATGAATTCACAATGTATGTATGCTTATGTCAGACATGCTGGTAGGTTAATTGGCCCTAGTATGTATGAATGTAAATTAGGGACCTTAGATTGTACGCCCCTTGAGGGATAGGGACTGATGTGAATGGACAATATATATATGTAATGTGCTGTGTAAATTGACGGCGCTATATAAGTACCTGAAATAAAATAAATAATAATAGATTACAGACCCAGAACAGGTATGCTTTTAGGAGTTCCGACGTCCCAGGCTAAATGTTTGTTCTGGGACAATGACTCAAAGAACTAAGGTCAGAATCTGTTTAACAGCCAGTTGAAGAGAATATTCTGAAGGAGAGTATTGCAGCCTACAAATTTTTCTTCTAAAAAAGGTCTAAACCAAGAAGACTGCGGCAAAACAATTTAAAGTATATGTAAACCTTCACCTTGTAAGACAACCCATTCAGTTTAAAATAGAAATGAAAGACAAACTATTTGTGCATAGATTTAAAAAACCTTTACCTTTCTTTTTTGCTTAAAGTGTTTACATACTCTCTATTCTAAGCTGCATAGATGGAGGAGAAACAGCATCACACTGAACTTCCCAGTGAATGGCTGTGCGGGGGGGGGGGGGGGGGGGGGGGGGGGATGTCAGCAGAGGAATGATCACTGAAGGAGAGCAGGCTGAGTTCCAGCAAAGCTAGAACTGACCACATTGTGCTCTCATGCCTAGTGTGGTCAGTTTTTGATATGAGCGCAGAGGGACTGGCAGGAAGCAATACAAAGAGAACAGGATACTTTTTCATACAAAGTACATGGTACAGCAGGCACGTGAAACTTTACCTATAACAACTTGACAAAAAGAAAATAATGTTCATTAGCAAGGAGCATACATTCCACATTAATAATTATTTTACCAAAATGAATGTGTGCTGTAAATTGCCTCCAGCATTGCTCCTATTTCTTCTTGCTGGAGACTGCCATTTTGCTGAAGCCCAGAGCCCCTGCACAAAAGTAAATCATAAAGCGGAACTAAAACCCATCGATTTTACGTTTTCAAAAACAGTTATACTCCTGGAATGCCAGGATCGCGAACGGTCACCTTTACTTCTGTCCTCAACCAACCTATCAAATGGCTGACGTTATAACTGATCACATCTGCAGCACCATGGCAATTGCAGATCAAACAGAAGCAGCTTCCTAAGCTGTAAAGGATAAGAGAGTTTAACGCGAACTGGCATGCAAATTGCATGTCAAGTTTTACCATATTGTCTGCAATTACAGCAGTCATATCAGTGCAGTTCTGACTTGGTCAGAGCCTCACCGATTTCTAAAGAAGTATATGCAATACTTTGGTGCGATTTGCATAGACATCTGTGTCAGATGTCTTGCGATTCGCACCTGAAACCGGCATCTCACCCGACATTAAAATCATGCAACTTCACTGTAAGTCACACGATTTCAAAGTTGGGTTTGATTTGACTGAGGTGTAAGGCTGTCAGCAGGTTTCAGCAGTGCCTAAAAATACAAAGCAACTGAGCATGTGCAGAGCAGGATGTATTACCGGATTTTAATGTTTTACATAGCTATACCTATACCTACATAGCTATAAAAAGGGGCCACCCTGAACAGGACTTAATTCCAGCAGGACTTAATTTTCTGACTAAAAGTTCCATTTTAACCTATTATTTTAGCCAACACTAAATATTAGTAATACGACAAGGGAATATAGAGCTCTGCTGTCCCAAATAGTATTTCTCAACGGCTCTTCTAAGCAGCATATTGTGCATTCTGCTGACAAGAACCAAGAGGTAAATCAGATTGCATTTTATCTGAACCCAGATCAGTTCACAGTCGTCTACTAGGAGACTCCATAAGGGCTCCATGTATACTGCAGCTGATAAACTTACATTTAGGAGCTGTTCAGCGTTTTTTTCAGCAGCCCCTGAACTCACCCGAATATTTTCCTATGTGTCCATGTACACATCGTCGTTTACAGTGTTTCACAGGCATTTGAGTTTACAGTCATTTTCTTGAACGCAGAAAACTTGCGTTCAGCAGTCAATTTTATCAGCGTTTCAAACGCAAAATGCTTGTAAACGCGGCAAATCACGTTTATAAGCGTTTGAAATTTTTTTTAACTCTTCCATTTCCCGATGCTGGCCAGAGCCTTTTTTAATCATGAAAAATGCATGCAAAGTGTTTTCAGGGTACTCAGATGGACAAAACACTGAACACAGGATGTTCCTACCAAGCCTGTCACACATTGTAATGACCAATTCACACCTCAGACCTCTCCCACCCTTGGAATCAAAATATATGTTAATGACCATTCACACCTCAAATTCCTCATGTTGACCCCCGCCAGGTGACCTTAATGACTGACTCCAGCAGACACCTTTCCCACCCTTGGAAACAAAAGAAATGTTAATGAGCAACTCACACCTAAGCTAATCTCAACACATACTGCTGTCTCTGCTTCTACTCTCTGTATTTCTCTGAAAGTCTGAAATAGTTAATAATTTACCAATTTTCAGTGCATTCTGGGCATTTGGGAGGTTCTCTTGTACTTCTCTTTAAAAAATGATTCTAAACGCAAACGCACATAAATGCGTTATGCAAACGGGGCTAAACAGACTTTTTTAACCTATGTTTTCCAGCGGTCAGTTTCCACCGTGTACATGGGGCCTTAGTTTTTTCTTTTCCTTTATTTTTTTGCACCTGGTAATGGTGTAGACAGACTTCCTGTCCCTGGATGAAATCACTCACCCTCTTTACTGTATCTATGGAGGGAGCCATGGCTATCAATAAGTTGCTCTACTGTTATACAAACACATCTTCTTCTCTTCATCTCCATTACATGGGGGGTGGGATGAGAGACTGAAATAAGAGAATATTGTACTTTCAGTCTAATTGTCAGGAAGCGAGAAGTACATCTACTGTACTCCTGGCAAGCTCAACAAGTATTTTCTGTTATTGCTTATAATGTTCTTAGCTTGGGGAAAAAAAAAAAAAAAACTAACCCAACACCGAATGCAAAGACTGGAAAACTGGAATATGTCATGTTCTATACACCTTTGGTATACAGAAGGTCATCTGGTTTCCATATTGCAAGGAAGCAACATATACATCTATTAACATCCAAATAAAAAAAATACAGCATCTAAAAACTGTCATGTTAACATTAAAACATGAAAAATTGCTTTTGTAGCAAAAATTTTTTTATTGCATTTTATTAAAAAGAGGATTTTTTCCTTTAGCACAAGCATGAGGAAGTTGAAGAATATTTAATTCTAAAAACGAAAATGCAGTATTTCCTGCCCATATGAGTGTCCCACTCCTTTTCTCAGAAGTTTGCAATGAGATACAGGTCAAATTTCAGAAATCCCCTATCATAAGAATTTCACACAACAAACGTCAACTTGTTCATTACATAGAAAAGTAAGAAAATGCAAAAAAAAAAAAAAAAAAAAAAAAACTAACTCAACACAGAATGCAAAGACTGGTAAGCTGCAATCTGTCATGTTCTATACACCTTTGGCATACAGAAGGTCGTCTAGTTTCCATATTGCAAGGAAGCAACATATGCATCTATTAACATCCGAATAAAAATACAGCATCTAAAAACTGTCATTTTAACATTAAAAACATGAAAAATTGCTTTTGTAGCAAAGCAATTTTGTATTCCATTTTATTAAAAGAGGATTTTTTTCCTTTGCCTTTGCATGGTATATAGCACCTAGAGGCGTTTGATTTTTTTCTCTCTCTATGAATACATTGTATTTACACTGCCAATAGCAAAACAACATGTGTCCCGTGACTCATAGTTGTGCAATAATAAAAAAATGCGCAACTCCAGATGACACAGATCTCTAGTGAGAAGATAACTTAGAAAATTCCTGAGCATGTTTTTCTTTAATACCTATATCATACCTTTTAAACAGTAGTTCCCACCTAAAAAATAATATCAGTTTTACTAAAAAAACTGATAAACTGGATCAAGTACAGGTGAAATTCGAAAAATTAGAATATCGTGCAAAAGTTCATTTATTTCAGTAATGCAACTTAAAAGGTGAATCTAATATATGAGATAGACTCATTACATGCAAAGCAAGATAGTTCAAGCTGTGATTTGTCACAATTGTGATGATTATGGCTTACAGCTCATGAAAACCCCAAATCCACAATCTCAGAAAATTCGAATTTTGTGAAAAGGTGCAATATTCTCGGCTCAAAGTGTTCCACTCTAATCAGCTAATTAAGCCATAACACCTGCAAAGGGTTCCTGAGCCTTTAAATGGCCTCTCAGTCTGGTTCAGTAGGAATCACAATCATGGGAAAGACTGCTGACCTGACAGTTGTGCAGAAAACAATCATTGACACCCTCCATAAGGAGGGAAAGCCTCAAAAGGTAATTGCAAAAGAAGTTGGATGTTCCCAAAGTGCTGTATCAAAGCACATTAATAGAAAGTTATGTGGAAGGGAAAAGTGTGGAAGAAAAAGGTGCACAAGCAGCAGGGATGACCGCAGCCTGGAGAGGATTGTCAGGAAAAGGCCATTCAAAAGTGTCGGGGACTTTCACAAGGAGTGGACTGAGGCTGGAGTCAGTACATCAAGAGCCACCACACACAGACGGATCCTGGACATGGGCTTCAAATGTCGTATTCCTCTTGTCAAGCCGCTCCTGAACAACAAACAACGTCAGAAGCGTCTTACCCGGGCTAAACCAACAGACCAGGTCTGTTTTTCTAAGTGATCCAAAGTCCTCTTTTCTGATGAGAGCAACTTTTGCATCTCATTGGGAAACCAAGGACCCAGAGTGTGGAGGAAGAATGGAGAGGCACACACTGCAAGATGCTTGAAGTCCAGTGTGAAGTTTCCACAGTCTGTGTTGATTTGGGGAGCCATGTCATCTGCTGGTGTTGGTCCACTGTGCTTCATTAAGTCCAGGGTCAACGCAGCCGTCTACCAGGAGATTTTGGAGCACTTCATGCTTCCTTCCGCAGATGAGCTTTATGGGGATGCTGACTTCATTTTCCAGCAGGACTTGGCACCTGCCCACATTGCCAAAAGCACCAAAACCTGGTTCAATGACCGTGGGATTACTGTGCTTGATTGGCCAGCAAACTCGCCTGACCTGAACCCCATAGAAAATCTATGGGGCATTGCCAAGAGAAAGATGAGAGACATGAGACCGAACAATGCAGAAGAGCTGAAGGCCGCTATTGAAGCATCCTGGTCTTCCATAACACCTCAGCAGTGCCACAGGTTGATAGCTTCCATGCCACGCCGCATTGAGGTAGTAATTGCTGCAAAAGGGGCCCAAACCAAGTACTGAGTACATATGCATGCTTATACTTTTCAGAGGTCCGATATTGTTCTATGTACAATCCTTGTTTTATTGATTGCATGTAATATTCTAATTTTCTGAGATTGTGGATTTGGGGTTTTCATGAGCTGTAAGCCATAATCATTACAATTATGACAAATCACAGCTTGAACTATCTTGCTTTGCATGTAATGAGTCTATCTCATATATTAGTTTCACCTTTTAAGTTGCATTACTGAAATAAATGAACTTTTGGACGATATTCTAATTTTTCAAGTTTCACCTGTATGTCTTAGGTCGCCTGGAGAATCTAGCTGAGATACTTCCAGCTTCCAGAGAATTTTCAGGTCACCAGTCACACCGCTGCGATTTTAAATCACACGATTTGTGTGCAATTTCTGAAGACTTTTGTTAAAAATAAAATATGAAATAAAACACAAAAAAAAAACAAACACATGTACATAAGTATTCACAGCCTTTGCCATGACACTCAAAATTGAGCTCTGGTGAATCCTGTTCCCACTGATCATCCTTGAGATGTTTCCACAACTTGATTGCTTGATTGGAGTCCACCTGTGGGAATTTCAGCTGATTGGACATGATTAGGAAAGGCATAAACCAGTCTATAGAAGGTCCCACAGTTAATAGTGCATGTCAGAGCACAAACCAAGCCATGAAGTCCAAGGATTGTCCATAGACCTCCGAGACAGGATTGTATCAAGACACAGATCCGGGGAAGAGTACAGAAAAATTTCTGCAGCACAGTGGCCTCCATCATCCATAAATGGAAGAAGTTTGGAACCACCAGGAATCTTCGTAGAGCTGGCCGCCCGGCCAAAGTGAGAGATCGAGGCCTTAGCCAGGGAGGTAACCAAGCACCTGATGTTCACTCTGAAAGAGCTCAAGCATTTCTCTGTGGTGAGAGGAGAACCTTCCAGAAGAACAACCATCTCTGCAGCACTCCACCAATCAGGCCTGTATGGTAGAGTGGCCAGATGGAAGCCAATCCTCAGTAAAAAGGCAAATGGCAGCCCACCTGGAGTTTGCCAAAAGGCACCTGAGGGACGCTCAGACCATGAGAAACAAAATTCTCTGGTCTGATGAAACAAAGATTGAACTCTTTGGCTTTAATGCCAAGCGTCATGTCTGGAGGAAACCAGGCACCGTTCACCACCTGGCCAATACCATCCGTACAGTGAAGCATGGTGGTGGCAGCATCATGCTGTGGGGATATTTTTCAGCGGGAGGAACTGGGAGACTAGTCCGGATTGAAGGAAAGATGAATGCAGCAATGTACAGAGACATCCTTGATGAAAACCTGTTTCCAGAGTGCTCTGGACCTTAGACTGGGACGATGGTTCATCTTTCAACAGGACAACGACCCTAAGCACACAGCCCACAAAGCAGTGGCTATGGGCATGTGAATGTCCTGGAGTGGTCCAGCCAGACCGCAGACTTGAACCCGATTGAACATCTCTGGAGAGATCTGAAAATGGCTGTGCACCGATGCTCCCCATCCAACCTGATGGAGCTTGAGAGGAACTGCAGAGAAGAATGGGAGAAATTGCCCAAAAATAGATGTACCAAGATTTTAGCATCATACTCAAAACGACTTGAGGCTGTAATTGGTGCTAAAGGTGCTTCAACTAAGTATTGAGCAAAGGCTGGGAATACTTATGTACATTTTTTTTTCCGTTTTTTATTTTTAATAAATTGCAAAGATTTAAAAACAAATTTCTTTCATGTTGTCATTATGGGGTATTGTTTGTAGAATGTTTAGGAAAAAAATGAATTTAATCCATTTTGAATAAGGCTGTAACAGAACAAAATGTGGCAAAAGTAAAGCACTGTGAATACTTTCTGGATGCAGTGTATGAGCAGCCTGACATTAAATCAACATCAGTCAAAGTATGGCCACTAACATTTAATGTTATCCTCAAAGTAACGTATACTCACGTTGTGCTGCTGCTACTGTGCTCTCCAATACGTTCATACTGTCCAGATCTAGAGGGAAAGTTGTTGATTGCTGAAATTTCCTCGGTGGGGCTAGAGTCTGTGGAGCTGTAGTCATTGTACGCGTCATTCCTCAGTCTGGTGGTAGCCATGGTTCCTAAAATTGCAAGAACATTAGTAAAATCATTTCCAAGGGTTTGTGAACAATATTCTAATATTTCATCTCTTTAAAGTGGATGTAATCCCTAACAAAGAACTTCTCTTATTAAGGCTCCATGCACACCAGCATTTTTTTTTTAAGCTAAAAAACTGCCGGCTAAAAAAAAAACAAAACACTGGTAATAGCGGTTTTTAGTAGCGTTTAGGAGAGTTAATGTTTTATTAGCGTTTTTACAGTACATGTAAAGAAGAAGCTGTTAAGAGCATTTTAGTAGTGTTAGCATTTTTTCTGCTGGAAAAACGCTCCAAAAACTTTACAAAAACATTTTTTTTTTTCTGCTCCTAGATGCTGAAGCTCAAAAAAACGCTAATAGCTTAAAGTAGTGTGCATGGATACATAGCATAACACAGTCAGTGTCAATGGGGGAATGCCTCTCGCGGAGCTATTGTGTTCTCCCGGAGGGGGGTGGGGAGCAGTCCCTGCCGGGAGAACACAATGATTATTGCTAGTGGCTATAGCTGCTGGCAAAAAAAAATAAAATAAAAAAATGACATGCTAGAAATTAGACATGCTGGTTGTATCCAAGTCAATTGATAGATCGACTTGGGTACAATCAGCCTGCCAACAGATGGATCGAAATTTGGTTGGTCCCTGGACCAGCAGAGACTCAGACCATCTATGGGCGGCTTTAGACGTGCCATACCCATTTAAAATAACCTGATTTCCCCATGCCTATTCCCTGCATAAATCGTGCAGATGGAGGAAACTATGCTGCTGGCTGTGGTATTCATCAGCTGCATACCCACGGCTGTCTGAATACCCAAACAGCGACTGGATACACTGCTGTTTGGCTGACACTTTTCCACCTAGCGCCTCTGATTTTTCAATCATGTGTTTTTCAAGCCAAGTGGTGCGAACAGGCCCACCCACAGCCTAAATTAGAGCCATGCATGGCAAGATTTACTTCTTGTACTGTTGTCGGCGTACAGGCGTTTTTTCCTAATATGGTAAAGGAACCTAGGGAGTGCCATCTGCTGGCTGGGTAAAAGACTAACTGATGTTCATATGCATTAAAAATACTTACAGCCTAAAAAAAGATACTGTTGCTGTTACTGCTTATAAAGTATTATCTGTAGTTTAGCTTCAATTTGATAGTGTATTTAAATCTGCAAGTGCATCAAACACTTCCCTTCCCCCCCAGACTGACAATGCTGCAGCCCAAAGGTGCCCCTGTGCTCCTTCATCCAGAGTAGAGGCACTCTAATCCAGGAAGTGTGTCACTGGCCAGGGCACAAAACTAGAAAACAAAGGGAAAAAAGAAAACCAATGCTGACACCACATCTAATGATTAGTAAGCTGCAATATATTACATTTTTGGTTTTCAGTTCAGTGCTGCTTCAATATAACTTCCATTGACTAGCAATGTAGGGTGGGGATTAAAGAAAGCTTACCAGCATTACCACTTCCCACCAATGAAAGGGGCTTGAAATAGCACGGTCAATGACCAGAAAACGTGTTATTATTGCGTGCACTGATACAAAGTCTATAGGTTATTATAAATATTAGAAATTAGATTTTTACAATTTTTTTTATTGGATAGGTTTTATAGCAGAAAGTAAATTTTGTTTTTTTTCTTTTAAAGATATCGGTATTTTTTCATTTATAGTGCAAAAAAAAAAAAAAAAAAAAAATTAGAGGTGATCAAATACCACTTAAAGAAAGCTCCATTTGTGGGGGGAAAAATGACATACATTTCATTTATGTACAGCATTGCATGTCAAGCAATTGTCAGTTAAAGTAACGCAGCGCCGTATCGGAAACAATGGCCTGGTCAGGACAGGGGGTAAATCTTCCGGAGGGCAAGTGGTTAATGCATCTACTGGCATCAATGCTGAGGGTTACTACTGAAGTCACCAACACCAATGCTGGGGGCTACTACTGAAGTCACCGACACCATGACGGGGTGGGGTGTTATTATTGAAGTCACTGACACTAATGCTGGGCGGGGGGATTATTATTAAAGTCAGTGACAGCAATGCTGTGGGGTTTTATTGCACATGATGACACCAATGATGGAGGTTGTTATTGCGGTCACTGGGACCAATATTGGGAGTCATCATTGCGGCCACTAACACCAATACTGGGGGTTAACACTGCATTGGCTGACATCAATGCTGAGGCTTATTATTGAGTTACTTGCACAGATGCTAGGGATTAATATGGCCTACAACACTAATGCTGGGGGGTATTATATCAGGCATTAATACTAATGCTAGGGGTTATTATTGCAGTGACTGGTACCAATGCTGGGAGGGGGTTATTATTTCTGTCACCGACACCAATGCTAGCCTAATGACAATATACTCCAAAGCATGAGCTATTTTGTGACCCTCTGGAAGTGTTGGGGGCTTCCAATCAATACAAATTAGATTACAGCAAGTGAAAATATGTAATATATAGTTTGCACGTTATATGTTTCAGCTCTCCCCCCAATCCACCTCTCCAAGTGATAGCAGGTGGGGGATCCTCTCTACATACTCACATTCACTTTTTGGAAAAAGCATGTTTGTGGGGCTTCACCCTCACTGCCACATCATTCAGTGAATAAACTACAAGTACCATCTGCCAACACGGCAGACGGACTTGTAGTTTCAATGGGCTGCGGGGGGCTGATGAGCGCTCCCTTAGTCTACTGACATGTCCTCTTGCTTTCAAACTGAAAGCCCGTACAGAGGAAAAGCCAAAAGTACATGTCTGCAGGAGCCCACTTTGCACCTGTGATCTCCTGATGACGGGTGCAATGCTTTATAGGCTCCAGCAGCAAAATATAATAAATGAAAATTTGTTAACTGCAATAAAAAATGTGTATTTATTATTTGTTCTGTAACAGGTGAACATATCCAAAGTAGTTTTAATCCTTATGATACTAGGTATAGGCAGGTGTATTGTATTTACCTTTTTTTAACCTTTTTTGGTTTGTGGTGTTCAGATACAGCTTAGTTCTGCTTTAAACAATTTCTTCTCTATACTATAGTCAACATGGATATACTTGTATGTCGCATCATTCTTCAGGGAGAATAGGTTACATTTTCATTTTTTCTTCCAGCCTCCTTGTTAGTTTCATCGTCCTTCTCTGAACTCTCTCTAATTCAAGGACATTCATCCTGAGGACTGGTGACCAGAGCTGAACAGCATACTCAAGAGGCCAGTGTTAGAATTATGGTTTTATCTCTTGGAGTACGGTACATATACTTGTGGGACGGGTTCACACTGATATGGTGTGGCACATCACATGTGACCCTTTTTTTTTTACCGCACCAGAATCGGATCGCATGGGTGTTCACACCCATGCGATCCGATTCTGCACATCGCGCCACGTTTTGTGAACTAATTGTGGGGTATCGTTAACTTAAAATACACACCCGCAGTGGTTCTTATGAACGGTGCGTTTATGATGTGGTAAAGGAAATCGCACACAAACCGGTGCAAATTCCACACCACATCAGTGTGAACCCAGGCTCAAACGCACACTAGGAGTCTGCTAGTCTTGCTAGATACAGCAAGGCATTGCATGCTACTGCTGAGTCTGTAGTCCACAAAGACCCCCAAAATCTTTTTCCATACCCAAGAGGTTCTTCCTGTAGCGAGTAAATTGTATGCTTTTTTTTTTTTTTTAGCTCCGGATGAATTGCTTTACATTTTTCAATATTAAAAGAGAAGTATGTTCAAAGCTTTTTTGGTCATACTTCTCTGCGAGTACAATTACTTTTGCACTCTAGAACCATCTGATAACAGGCTAAAGCCCGCTGATGTCACAGAGCCACTCCATTCTCTGGAAGGGTCCCGACCATATTGCCAGGATCCGCCCAGATGCCCGAAAGACAGCTGGCTCAGCCTCAGTGCAAGGCTAAGAGCTGGACCCAGCTGCTCCTGCCCCTTTCCCAGCAAGGGCAGAGAGCTATGACTAAAAATTCGGGAAGACAGAGAACTGAGCAATCAGTGGTCACATGTTCTCGGGCTTAGAGCTGGTGGGGAACAGCAGCATCATCAGACCAATGCTGCAGCATGAAGAGGATTCTAGAGGTTTGTTTTTTTTTTAAATTCCCATAATTCTCCTTTCAACCTCAACTGCCATAGAGCTGCCCATCCTCTTTTATTGAGTTGCTAGAAATTGTAATTAAGTTACTGCCCTGCTTGGATTTGTATCATCAGCAAACACTGAGACCTAGCTATTTATGCCAATCTCTAGACCATCTATGAACAAGATAAACAGAACTGGACCCAGGACAGAGCACTGGGGCATACTGCTCACTCACTACCCTACACCATTTAGGAAGAAAAAGAAAAAAAAAATGTACTCTCTGGACATGTCCCTGCAATCAGCTTTCTATACATGTACATAGATTTTCTTCAATGCCATACATAAATACATTCAGTGCATATACTATACACAAAATTGGACCCCATAATTAAGCTTAAAGCAGAACTATAGGCAAAATTGTATTTGTTCATTTTGGATAGATTAGTAAGAGGAGGGTTATAACCCCTGTCAGTTTATTTTTTGCCATCTGTGTCTCATTGGGGAGATTTAACTCCACTTCCTGTCCCATAGCCAAAACAGGAAGTGAGAGATAATCCATGCAAATTAAGGGAATTCCTTGGGAACCACCAGGTCACCAGAACTGGTGTCCCCATTGGAAAATTTCCCCCGTAATATTTTTATGGGGACAACCAAAAATGTGGGGTTTTCTTTACTTTCATGTTCAAGGATAATGATAAACAGGACAAACAGAGAGGGGGAATCTCCCTAATAAGGGCACAGGGATTAGAACACCTATTAGGTTTTTTTATCAATCTCCACCCTGTCCAAAACTTCAAAAAAGTTTTGCCTTTAGTTATACTTTAAAACAGTAGTAAACAGTGAAAAAAAGAAATTTGACCCCTGCCGGATAATGTCATAATGTGCCACATATTATTACAGACTTACCTTAAAATAAAG